CATTGGCCATACATAATAGTGCTGCTGGTCGGTCAACTTTTCCTGTCCAAGGTGGCTCAGACCCACTCCAGAGTAATTTGCCTCCCCAAGCCCCACTCCAGATTAACTTTCCTCCCCAGGTCCCTCTTGGATTCCAACAGCAGAGGCTGCATCCTCAGAATCAACAATCTTTACTTTCCCAAGCTATGGATAGTTCAAGTATTTCAACGCAAGAGAAATTACTTTCTTCTGGTTTATTACAAGATCCACAAGTGTTGGGCATGTTGCAACAGCAGTATTTATTGCAGTTACATTCCCAAGCGCCTGTTCCAACACAACAAATGACATTGTTGGATAAGCTCATGTTGCTGAAGCAGCAGCAACAGAAACAGGAGGAGGAGCAAAGTTTGTTAAGGCAACAACAGCAGCTGCTTTCCCAGGTTATGTCAGAGCATCAATCTCGACAGCATTTTACTGAGCCATCTTTTGGACAGATGCAGGCTTCTGCAGTGCTGAAAGGGATAGATCCTTCCTGGCTTCAGTCATCACGAGAAATGTTTCCAGTTGGTACAAATGTGCAAGTTCCCAATACACAAAATGAACTCACTAGTAGTTATATGACTTTGCCTCCCCAAGGTACCCAAGATATTAGTCATAATGTTAGTGAGGGAGCATCCTCAGTAGTGTTACCTCATCAAGTGCTTGAGAATATTACTCATCAAAGAAGTCTGGATGTTAATATGGCGGCACCAATTTCTATTCAGCAGGAGTCGTTGCCAATGTCGACAAGTGTTGAGAGCTCACCTTTGCTTGATGTGATGACCAAATCTAGAGAGGTGTCCCTTGCGCAGGACATACCTGATTCTGACTTCCATGTTGTGAAACCCCTGGAATGGGCAGCTGAAAACACTTTCATAGCTGACGGATCTGTTGGGGTTTCAATTTCTCAGGGTGTTGCAGATTCTTTGCCATCACTGGGAGCTTTCAAGAAAGATGTACATGAGTATATTAATGATGTGAATGTTCAATCAGGCAATCAAATTGAAGAACAGCGGATTGAAAGGGAAAAATGCAATGATGAGGCTCCTACAGTAGTTGAAGCAAAGAATGTTGAAGTAAGAGGGCAAAGAAAGACTTCTGAGAAGAAGTCCAAAAAGCAAAAATCTGCCAAGGTAGAGTCTTCTGGTGATCAAGCAAAAGGAGCATCCAGTGCACAGTCTGAAGCTGAAAAGCCTGTTGTTAGCGACACAAAATTGGAGACGAGAGGCAACCGAGGCAGTAAGTCTGTAATTGTTACAGCAGAGGCTTTGGAATCCCGACAAGCTGAAAATCTAGAACCTGTAAAAGTTTCTGGAGGTGATAAGGAACATAATGAATTCAGGGGTGATTCTAAGTTAGTTGAGTCTGTTTCTGGGCAAAGTACTCGAACACAGATTGGGCAGCGAGGTTGGAAACCTGCTCCTGGTTTTAAGGCGAAATCGTTACTAGAAATTCAACAGGAAGAACAGAGGAAGGCACGGACAGAAGTGATTATACCTGAGGTCATCATCAACTCCCCCAGTTTGTCAACTCCTTGGGCTGGGGTTGTAGTCAATTCAGAACCAAAAATATCTACAGAAACTCCGGTAGATGCAGGTATTCATGACTTAAATGTTGGGAAGCCCAAAACTTCTCAAAACTCAAAGAGCAAGAAGAGCCCGCTACATGATTTATTAGCAGAGGAGGTTTTGGCCAAGTCTAGTGAAAGAGATGTTGAAATTCCTAATGGTGTATCAACTCAGCATCCTTCACAAATTATGCCCACCCGGCCAGAATCTGTAGATGACGATAACTTTATTGAGGCAAAAGACACCAAAAAAAGTCGCAAAAGGTCAGCAAAATCAAAGGGTGTTGGAACCAAGCCCTCAGTATCAGTCACTGCTGTAGATGTGCCTGTTAGTTCAAGCCCCACTGAGAAAGTCAAAAGCTCCCGTTCTGTACATCAGGAAAATGAAGTATCGCCTGCAATTCCATCAGGGCCTTCATTGGGAGATTTTGTTCTTTGGAAAGGAGAAACAGCTAACCCTGCTCCTTCTCCAGCATGGTCTACAGACTCTGGGAAGATTTCTAAACCCACATCTTTAAGAGATATCCAAAAGGAGCAGGAGAAGAGGGTTGCTGCTACTCAGCACCAAAATCAGATTCCAACTCCTCAGAAATCACAGCCACCTCAAGTCACCCGCAGTAGTGCTCCGTCATGGTCACTTTCAGCATCATCTCCATCTAAGGCTGCATCTCCCATCGCGATTAATTCCCATGCTTCTCAGTCGAGAAATAAAGTAGAAGATGACTTATTCTGGGGCCCAATTGATCAAGCAAAGCAAGAAAATAAGCAGTATGATATTACTTCTTTGCTTTATTTTATATTAATTCATCGTGTGGTTGTGTCCGCTTTATGTTGCTTTGAGACGGAAAGCTTTATGAGCCTCACTTAATTATATTGTCGGAATGCATATACATGGGGTTGGCTCACATCTTTTGCATCTGCAGGGAACTAATTTGACCTAGTTTGACCTGGAGCTTGTGTTTTTGTTTGGTTTTCTGTGAGCAGGGCAGATTTTCCTCATCTTGCAAGCCAGGGCAGTCGGGGAGTGAAAATTACTCCTGGTAAAGGAACTTCAGCTGGTTCATTAGGCGGGCAGAAATCAGTGGGTCGAAAAGCAACTGAGCGATTACTTTCATCCTCACCGTCTCAGTCATCTATGAAAGGAAAAAGAGATGCCATGACCAAGCAATCAGGTAAGCCAGTCATGGTACTGTTGATTTTCTGTCAGAAATATTTCTTGTCACCTACTTACGTTGTTTTATTTTCCTTTGCAGAGGCCATGGGCTTCCGAGATTGGTGCAAGAATGAGTGCGTTAGGCTTATTGGCACGAAAGGTATTTTTGACCTTCTGACCTGCATAATAGTACTAAACTTCATTAAATAGTGGGCAAATTCCATAGAACCAGGTGTTTTTGCTATAATGATTTTGCTTTCTTCGTAGCTTAAAAAGGTGAATTGATATTTGTCATTGTGTTGGTCCAACTCCATTCCTTGTCGTGATATTCAGTTTCATAATTGGATTACTGATCTGAGAATTATAAGATTTGCTAGAGTTTGTTCAGAAGAATTCGTCCTTTCAAAGTCTTATTCTTGGCTTTGTCATATATTTTGCTTTCCAGATACGAGTTTCCTTGAGTTTTGCCTGAAGCAATCCAAATCGGAGGCTGAGTTGCTTCTGAAAGAGAACCTAGGGTCGTATGATCCCGATCACGAATTCATTGACAAATTTCTCAACTACAAGGAGTTGCTACCGGCTGATGTCCTTGAAATTGCGTTTGAAAAAGGGAATGACCAAGGGGTCGCTGGGTTGAGCGGCAGAGATGTGAATTCGTACGGTGCAGATGTTGGGGATGCGGACCAAGACGCGTCCTCCAAAGGGGTTGGCAAGAAGAAGGGAAAGAAAGGAAAGAAGGTTAGTCCGGCTGTCTTGGGATTTAACGTCGTGAGTAACCGCATCATGATGGGCGAGATCCAGACACTGGAAGATTAGGGAGGAGGATGGAGTTTAAAGATGAGAAGGGCAGTTGTAAATAGGTTTTTGGCTTTTGGACTGTCATATCTTCTTCTTCTTCTTCTTCTTCTAATGATGTAGTCGTAGTGGTAGACTAGTAGTAGTAAGTGCCAGCCAGCCAGCCAGCCAGCAGCAGTGCTAATTTTTCTGCTCGAGCGATTTTGTGTATCCTTAAATTATAGTCATGTTTTTAATCTCGTCGCTTTTTGAGATCCTGCGGGAGATTTATATTTATTCTTCAATCGACGTACCCAAGTTTCTATATTTTTCCATCAATTTTAAATTTGATTAATTTGAGTTGTAACTTCGCCGATTTCTATTTCTACTTACTTTTTCGAAACTCAGCCGGAAAATTGAGTGATATGAATAATATAGGAAATAGATTTTTACAATGGGCAGGAAATTTGTGGGATATAACTTATGAGAGTGATTCTTATTTTTTGAGTTCGATATATGTTGAACTCATGAGTAATACTTATGCAACATTGTGATAAAAATGTATCAAGCTTACATCATCGTTCGTGATAATAATGTAATATGAATCAAACTCAAGGTGCCTTTTTTTGGAACCACTGTGGAATGTATGTTGAAAATTGGGTGTTTATATTGTGGGAGTCAAATCTAACAGAAAAATTACATTTTGTGACTGCTTCTAGATGAGGGCTTATAATAATTTTCTAACGAAATAGTTATTGTACGACTAAAAAATAACATTTTTTTACCAAAATTGTAGAACAATTCTTTCGTGTTATGTATCATTAAATACTTGAGTATTGGACGACTTAAATTGGTTTAGATTATTACTTTTAGTATGGTCTCGTTAATCTAGACTATTCAATGCTTTTTAAACGATTTTGCAAATTCCTACATCTACCATCATGAAATCTTTTCTTTTTTGGCCACAAAACCAGTTAGAACTTAGAGCAACTCCACCCATGGAGCCCTCCTCCCTGGCAATCCACTATTCAATCCACCCTATTGAACAGTAACTGCCTTAAATGAATAGTAACTACCATTAATGAACAGTAATTGCCATTTACATCTCCACCCTTGGAACCCTTCCCCTTGGCAATAAGCAATTAAAATAATAGTTTTTTTTGTTTGTTTAAATAATAAAAAATTGCAAATGCTCCGGTCCCCCCCTCTCTCTCTGACACAAAAAAAATAAAAAATTGCAACGCCCTCGAGCGACAGGCCCATCGACTCCCCACCCCCCCTTTGCTCGGGCTCCCACCGTCACTCGGCCTCCACACGGCTGGACCTCTCTCCACCGGGCCTCCGGCCCCTTCTTCTCCACTGTCCCCCGAGCAACCCACATGGGTGGAGTTGCTCTTAGAACGTATAAATAGCTCACATTTTTTGTGAAAAATGATATATATCAGTTTGCTGTGATTTTTAACTCGAAAACGAACACAATTTTCACACTTACAGGACTGGAAATTTTACTGTTTTTATTACTCTTAATTAAAAATAAATATACAAGTAAATCAAATCCCAATAAATTGGATTTTCTAATGTCCCAAGTTCCCCAACTAATGGGGTTCACAGGAGGACAATTCAGAGACAAGTTTTCATATATGGATCTTTTTCTTTTAATCTGAGAAGGGGATTGACCTGAACCCTAATTATGTATAAACCGTGCACATAGTCCCGGCGCGTGTTCACCGTTCTCCGACGAAACTTTAAGCACTGAGTTCGACGGCAAGCACATGAAACGGAGGATTCTAACTGCTACTACGTAATGTAGTCACCTTCTTGCTTTCCTCCGCTTTCTTGGATCTCTTCTTCTGCATTTCTCTTATGTTCTGGACACAATAACAAACACAATTCGTCACAAATCGCAAACACATATTACTAAGGCTCGTATACGAATTTGTGAACTCCATCACTTGAAAATTGCACATGTTTTTCGGTTGGAAATTTTCGCTATGTTTCGACAAATTTACAACAGTTATCACAAATTGGGTCGATGTTTATAAAGAGGTTCACGTTGTTCGTGCACAAACAAACTCAATTTTATGTTTCTTTTATACGACGATATTATATTCTAAATTATTCTAGTCTACCGAAATGAGGATTCAAACTCCGGTGCAAGAGACCTCGACCATCTCACCTGACCTACATCTACTATTCAAGCTCTTGAACTTGTACTAATTTTTACTCAAATTGTTTAGCTCACTAAACTTTCGTGGCTAAAGCTAATCTTGCATCATCAGAGAGCAAGCAAATCATCAAAAGAAGCCTAAAGCTGAAGAAGGACTTACATAGAACGGGTCAACAGGTCAACTGAGAATACAAAAACAGAGTAAAGTAGTTTAACAGGAAATTATTTGAAGTTAAAAAACTTGGAAAGGAATCCTCTCCGGATCCCTTCCACCAGAGCCTCATGATCAACAAATTCGAACCTTTAAAATTTGATCCAACGGTTAAAAACAGGACTTATTAAAGTTATAATAACTTTAGCTTGGATCAAATTTTAAGGATCCAAAATTATTGATCATGAGGCTTAAATGAAAAAGATCCGGAGATGATCATTTCCAAAAAACTTTACTAAACCCTAAATTAGAATTTTAGTAGAGAAATAATCACACGTGAACATAAGGGAGAGACTTGATTATACAAATTAGAGGGTATACTAACCGTTGATTGAAGTGGGATGGGATCAAGGACGATGGAGCGGATGGACATCTTGGCAATCTCCGAAACAGCGGCGTCTCGTACGGCAGCAACGTCGCTGCTCAAATGCTCGAACGCCGCCTCGAAAGCCTCCTGCCAAAACCGCGGCAGTCGACTCGTGCTGGTGCGGCTGCTCTGCGTGTACAAATCCCACATGTGCCTCACCACCGTCTCTCTCTCCTCCACCTCCTGCAAATCATTAATCCAGTATTAATTTGTTTAATTCCAATTCCACAATGATTAACAGAGAAATTGAGCAAAAGGGTTAGCTCCCAAGTACGAGAAAGATGTAAACTTACGTACCAGAATGTCGAGATCGTCGAAGGTCGGTATATCGAGGTCGTCGGAGACGTGGGATAAGTTGCCGGCTGACCATTTGAGGGTGACGCACCCGGTGAATATTGACCAGAAAGCGAGGAGGAGAATCGCAGCTAAAACCGAGAACTTGTAGCGATTCTTGTCGAGAAAGACTCCGGCTTTCGACGACGAAGACGACGAGGTGTCCTTCCTGATCACCGTTGATGATGAGATTGTTATCAGTGTCGGTGAATCGTTGTCCTTCATTTTTAGAAGATGAAGTTTCACTGTTGAGCTCTCTCTCTCTCTCTCTCTCTCTCTCTCTCTCTCTCTCTCTCTCTCTCTCTCTCTATATATATATATGGATTTAGAGTAAGAGCGGATAGACAGAGTTTGGGTACTGGGGAGTGTAGGACTGTGGGTGTGGTGTAATAAATTTTGTATTAATATGTTGGGATCACGAGATCATGGGTGCGTGAGCCGTCTCAGTGTCACTGCGACATACGAGTTTGGAAAAATAAAACTTGTGACTTGAGGTTCAGTTTAGCGACAAGACGGTGGGGTGGAGAAAAAGAAGTTTGAGATCTCGAGTTTAACTAATCAGCCAACTCATACCAAGACAATTTGAGATGAATAAAATCGAATTAGAAACCTCAAGTTGTGGTAAATACTCTTATTTAATTGAACGACAAGTTCCTAGCAAGACGATACGATTACCAGGTGAAGAAAATCAAACTCGAAATCTCGAATTTGGCGATGAATGCTTTTAGTCAACGGAACGAGACACGAGACAAGCTTTGAAATTGGATTTTGATATGGGAAGGGAAGGGAAATCGTGGAGTGCTTTGCGAGCTACCATTTCCGAAATTTCTGAATGGTTTTGTGGCGACAGCACCCAGCAAAGTATGTGCGAACGGCCAACGCAGGGTCCACTTGGACGCGGGAGGGGTATAATCTGTCGACTACAATAATTTTTTAGTGTGATCGATATATAAAGTGGTATACGACGTGTTATTACACATATAGTGAAATATATGTGTTAAAAAGTTAATAACTTAAAAAATAAAATTTTTCATCATTTATATAAAAATATATGGTGTACCCCTTATATTCCGGTCATAATAAAAAAAAATTCCGATTACACAAATCATTTCCAATCGTCACGACACCTGTTTGTTTGGCATTGAGGGCTGGTTTTAATCACCTGCTGTCATCTTGAATGTGATCGTGTATATGGAATACGATTGAAATATATAGTCTTGTATTTAATTAGTGTGGTCGGCATTCGTACTCAAGTTTTCCTGTCATTTTTAGCCTCCATCACGATCATGGTACTTATGAAATTTTTTCTTCAGAAACTTGTTATGGTTAGTCTAAGATGGGTAATCGCGGTTACTCGCTCATTTAAATTAAACGGTTACGGTTATAGGTAACTGTTTAGATAAATAAACTGTTATACCCATAACTGTTTACCCACGAAATTTAAATGGGCGGTTATAAACGAGTAACCGTTTACTTATTTATTTTATATATGTAAAACTAATACAAACCATGTTCTCGATCCAATAATACTTAGCACCCAATAAATTAACAAGGAATTCATCGGTCATTCTCTCAGTAACACTGCTATAGGAATGATGATTCTCATCATCAAGGAATTGACCAAATTAATTTAAATTTCCTTGTGGGTAACCGTGAAATTGACAAAAATGTTTTGATAGAAATGTCTTCTAAACAATTTTTGTAACCCAATAATAAAATATTATATTTACCTTCATTGGTAACAGTTAAATATATCGTCCGTAAACTATTATTTCAATTATTGGAATGATATAAGGACTTAAAAAAAATTAAAATATGGAAATGTATGATGAATGTACCTATAACGGTGTTTAATTGTAAAAAAAGAAAAAGAAAATTATGACAATTTTTTTTTTAATTTTCAAGTTGTTAAAAAACATGTAGACGGGTGAAAAAAGGGTAATGGTAAAAAAAAAAGATAAACGGGTTAAAAATGATAAATGGGTAAACGGGTATTAAACGGTTACGATTAAATGGGTATACAGTTATAGATATGAGTATAACTGTTTAGGCAATTACCCAACAGGTAAACGGTTATGTGGGTATGAGCATAAACGGTTATGGGTAAATAACCACGGTTACCCACCCACCATAACCGTTACCCATCCCTAGATTAGTCTAGTCCAACGTTCATACTCAAGTTTTTCTCTTGTTTTTAGGCTTTTTATGTATGGTAGTTATGAATTTTATTAAGAAATACTTAGATACCATTAAATTATGTCAACTTGTGGTAGGTGAACTTTTTAGAGGACAATCTTTACCTTAGTTGATGTACGTTGATCTCACTCCTCCATTGTTGACTGTAAATACGATTGATAGATTAATCCTTTGACTCGTACCGACCACGCACACCTACCACAATTATTTTTTTATTCTAATTCTTTTTTTTTTTTATACGCGCGAAATAAAAAAATAAATATCAGACTAATTACGAATTGTAAGAGATAAAAATGTGGCTATTAAGCGTTGGACATTCAAAAAATTTGAAAACAAAAGTGAGTAGGGCCACCGATTTGACATCTAAGCAATGACAGTAGCCTAATTTAATTAGGACCACCAACTCGCAAGTCGCACCAAATAATTAACCGACAACAAACAACACTTAAATAAGGGAACTTTAACGAAAATGTTCTGTTACCGTTCACTTTAACGAAAAATCATATTTTTATACTAAAAAGTCAATCCAGGTACTATTCACTTTACCCTTTATTTTGACATTATCATTAAAACTCAAAATTTTCAAGCCATTTTCATTAGTTTTCCTCTTAAATAAAGCATTTCTTTTTATTTTTTTGGAATGTGATATCCACACTCCATTTTACTTCTCACACACCTTTTTAATATACGATTGTTGGATCTGATAAATTGAAAAGATCAACGGATATAAATTATCAAAAAGTGTGAGAAGTAAAATGAGGTGTGTGGTTAGCACACCCCTTTTTTTTTTGTTAAACTCGAATAAAATCATTTAAAAGCAACAGTAAATGACTCAATGGTAAGTGCGCGGACTGCAGCTCATTAATAAGTAAATAAATTGTGAGGTCTTGAGTTCAATGCTTCTAGCTGGTGAGTCTATTTGACCGTGGCTTCGGGCATGTTGAAATTCTCTATAATTTCCCCAGGTTTAAAAAGAGATGAATAATCATAAATTGCCACCAGTTATTCATTTTTTAAAAATAAATAAATAAATAAACTAAACTATTTAATTTCAGTTTCTAATTCGTAATTAGGTTCACCAACGTTATTCGTCACAGGGCCGGAACTAACAACCCACTTATGTTTCAATCAGGGCCGACATAGGGTTTCAAGTAGCCTATTTAGGGAGAGATATGAATGACTCAACCCATAACTTTGATATTTTCTTTAAGCCCAACAGAAGAATTTTATGAGGAAACTCCCTAAATTGTTCTATATCCTTATTACCAAACCGATATTCTCTCCATTAATACTGTATTGAATTGAAGAAATGATCTCCAACCTTAACTACGGTTTTTCAGCTAAAAATTCGTGATCATAAGTTTATGCAACTATAGTTCTTCAATTCCCCCAAAACTTCAATCAAAACAAGTCATGTTTGAAGAACTATTGCTACAAATTAGATTAAAATTAAAAGATTATTGCAACAATTTTCTCATTTAATTTTTCATATTTGCCCAAATTATAATACGCACATTCAGCAGATTTTACAACACACATTCAGCAGATTTTATTCCACTAGTCACATTATAGAGAAACCTAGTAAATATTGTATCATGTTTTATTTATTCCACTACACACATTCAGCAGATTTTACAACACAAAAAAGTATCAATAAAACAAAACTTGAAGAAATCAAATTTTTAGGGCGCTCAGAAGTGTTGCATGTGATATCACTGTTTTAATCTCATATGTCCAGACATATATTAGAGCAACATCATCACTGCACCAACTCAGGAAAACATAATCCAAACAATTAAACTACTAATCAAATGCAATTAACTCACACATTTCACTTCTAATTACTATTAACTCAATTTTAATACAATTTAAAAACCAAAAACAAATAATCCTCAGAGACAATTCCACATACGTGGAAATTGCAGACAATCTACACAGCATCAGATTCTGTCCGCCCGTCTGCTTTTCCTCATCATCGAAACCATTTTTAACACCATAAACAAAACTGTCACTAAAAATTTACAAAAAAAGAAATTACTAATTTGATTAAAAATCAATAAAATATGGCAAAGCTTCAGATAATAAGCGGAGATTTTGTCCACATTTATTTCGGTGTGTAGTATAAGTGATAATATTTTGCATCATACGCTTTGCCCTTCCATTTCTTCCCAAAAAAAAAATTTTAAAAAAAAACCAAATAAATAAATAAAAAGATAGAAAAATGGCATCAGATAATAAGCGGAGTTTATGTCAACACAGAAGATTCAGTATATCAATAAGCGGAAAAGATTATTCATCATTTGCCATTCGATATTCGACCCACACAAAACTAGACATAATTAAGAAAATAAATTAAACATAATTAAGCATATAAGTATATCGGTAGGTCCATTTGACCCAAAAGCAAACTCAAACAATCTGCAGTGAGCTGGTAAGCCAACCAATCGATATCTGCATCCGTTCTAAGCTCCTCCACCATTGAATTTTGCGTGGAATGAGAGGGTAAACAGATGCATGACAAACAAACATAGACGCGCACACAGAAAATCGAAACCAAAACTCAGAAAACACAGACGCTAAGTATTCAGATCCGAAACACAATCAGATCTGCGGAGATTGAAATTTGAAGGGCGACTGAGAAAGGGGAAGAATGGGAGGCGGATAGGAGAAGGATCGAGATTATATAGGGGTTTATGTGAATTAGGGTTTTACCCATCTGACGAACAGATTTGATATTTTGGTGGCGCGGCCCACTCCTTTTCGTTTTGGGCTTTGAATGGAAATCTGGGGTTTTCTATGGGCTTTTAATAAAATTATAATAGTCCAACTTTTGTTAGGCCCAGTTGTAAAGTTTACTAAACCCTAATTTCGTGGGTTTAAACATTGTGAATGGTCAAGATCAACTCACACGCACGACTTATCTCAGTGTTTCTCCAGGTTTCATAGCGCAAAACCATGGGGCCTAAAATCCTATTGAACCTCCACATATGACCAATTACTTTAATTTCATGCTAATTTAGTGGTCAAATGATGTTAATCTCTCTTCTTCTTGCTCTCTAATTTCAAAAACCACAGGCTTCAATGCATAAAAAACAATTTTGCTTTTTACCTATATGTACATGCACTTCTTCCTTAGTCCTCCTTTCTTTTTTCTTTCTTTGTTTTTTGTATTGGTTCTGTAAAAATAAATTGACCAAACAAAACACAGTCGTATCGTACGTGTTATTGATCTCCACCGCCATCTTCCCTCTTAAGATCCGCCGGAGGCAGAAAGCAATCCATGGACAACCCACATATATTAAAATCCACTTCGTCAATCTTCCACGTCTCCCCAATCCTCCTCTTCTGGTTGTAAGCGTGTCCGTACCTGTACAGCAAAGCCGACGTTTTACCGCCGTGCGCTATGTTTATCCCGTCGACGTATCTGTAGTCCCCGATCACCGTCTCCATCGTCGTCTCCCAGAAACGTCGTCGTTTCGCGACCTCATCTTGACCAGCTTGGTGTCCTCGAACTGGATTAGCAGTCCCGTCCGCTGGCTGAAGTAGCCCCAGATGGTGTGATGGACTATTTCAGTCTGGGGGCTGCTTTGGGATTGGAGTATTTCCGTGGGGGTTTTGAGCTTGAGGATGAAGCATTCTTCTTTGTTGATGTTTTTCTCTCCTGTGCACATTGCATCTAGGAACAAGTTGGCAGTGCTCCTGGGGCCCAAACCCTAATCAACAAATAATTGTTAATGTTGTTCCTTAATCACGATTTTAAGTTGACTGCGCTCCTTAACCACAGTTTTCGTTAAACATTTGAGACTTTATTAAAAAGTTCAACATATTTCTAAACAAAAGTACATTTAGAAAAAAGAGTTTCTAAGCAAAAGGCTTTATACAACATTAGTTCCATATGAGTCCTAATATTTAAGATGATTGCGACCTAAAACTGTATATACCTGAAAGAAACGACGGAGGGGTCTTGGAGGGCCTTTATTCGCACGGCAAGGTTGTGAGCCAGATTGATTCCACACGACCTTGCCATCACTTCCAGCACTGACTTTCAAGCCGGAAACAACCAATTCCAAGTACCACAAGTCGGGATTCTTTTGCCATAGGACAAACCCACCAACCTCGCTATTGACTTTGCTCTGAACGTGTACACTATCATCACCTTGGCGCATTTCGGATCCCACCATCTTAACCTCCCCAACGGCGTACATGCTATTCACCGACTTCAACGCCGCCAGTCCCCCGGTTGCCGCCCCATATTGTTGCACTATATATTTCGCCGTAGAACCCTCCTGCCCGCATGCATGCATGCAATATCAAACTACGTACGTACGTAATGAAAAGTGAAAGCTGAAAACTATATAATGTGGTAAATTAGGTTAATATTACGTACAATGGAACAATCTTTTATAGGGCGGGAGAGTGCACTGTCGCAATCAACCTGAAGGGGGATGAGGGGAGAACCAACAAGCTTGAGCAATGCCATGAACTCATTATTTGATCCCGACGAGGGATGAGATGATCTTGAATTTTTCTCGACGTGGGACTGATCTTTCATGAAAGAACAGAGATTCGCCAACCGCAACACGACGTTGCTGCCCATGCTGGTGAACATTTCCTCCGGAATAGGCACCTCGAGGACGGTATCCAGGCCATCTTCTTTGTCTAGGTTAGGGCATAGCTTCCGCATGGAAATTAAATTAAATTGTGAAGTAAAAGTGTAACAATTAAATATTTGAGGAACATATGTGAGGGAATAGAGGAGGAGGTAAATTGATTAAATTAGAGAAAGAGGAAAAGCGAAACTTTTCCCCTTCTCACCCTAGGGTATTTGAAAATTTGAAGAGATAAGGGGTATTTTTTGGTGGAAATTTTAATTTAATTAGTGGGAGATTAAGTTGGTATTGGAAATGAGAAGGTAAGAGTGGGGGAGGGAGGTAATGTTGCCTAAGGTGCTCCTTGCGCGTAGGTCTCGCGTGGCTTGGAACCATTTAAGGGCACATCACATTCATATTTTAGGACCCCTTAACCCCTACCACAACTAATTAGCATTGATCATCAAGTCCAGGTAACTAAGTTAATTTCAACTTGTCATACATATTCTTATCGTGGTATGACAATATTTGTTATTCTATGTTTGTGAATGATACAGTAATTACATTAAGTTCATTTAAATTTTAATAAAAATAGATTTGAACTTGAGTGCAAATGATGGAACACACTGCTCTGACCAACGTAATTAAACCTATGCTGCAAAAATAATTTTAAAGGTTTTATTACAAATGGTCTATGAAATCTAACTCATCGTTTTGATCTCTTAATTTGAAAATCAATCAATGTCATCCATAACTTTCCCCAGCACACATCAACTTGGTCCTTGTCGTCTAGATTCGTCAATTTTCTGTTAGGTTGTTGACGTGGCACACTAAGAGCCCACACAACGTAGACAGTGAAAAATCATTTATTTGAAAAAAAAAATAGAAGCCAAGTTAATAAACAAACAGCAAACAAAAACAAAACATTATCTCAGGAGCATCTCCCCCGCCCCCGTCCGTCATCTGCCAACCCCACCCACCCAAGCTTAGCCACACCTCGGTTGCGGTTGTGTCGTTGACGCTGCCTGTGACTGGCCTGAATCATTGCAGTCGGCAAATATGGCAAAGGGGGAGCTTGACCAAATTGGTATTTGCCTCCAGCCCTACCCATAGTGCAAAGTCAAGATGTCAAAGCGCGTGTGTGTATTGTATAGTAGAAGAAACTTTCTACACTTTGTCTTGTAGTGATATCTGCTTGTACACGTGTCATACAGAATTGTATCTATCTGGCTGCCAGCTCCTCAACGAATTTGTCAACTAGTGGCTTTCAATTCATATGGTAGGAATTAGGTTTCCGGAAATCAATTAATAATAACCGTTTATTAAAGATTATGCGGTTATAATTTTTTGTTTTTTTTTTTAATATTTTTTATGCAAAACGAGATTGTTTTACCTTTAAAAATATAATAAAACATTCAATTGTGGTTGTACGATTTTTTATGAACGGTTGATATTAATTGATCATTCGGATCCTCAGTGAAGAGATCCGGAGAGAATCTAATTCTCATATGGAAAACGAAATCATTCGTTTTCAAGCAGGACATTCATCATTTTTAAACGTTAAATTTTGTAACGATAACAATAAGGATGAAACACTTTGAAATTTGGGTGAGCTCCAACTCAGTGCAAATTGGCCCGTCCATTACAGGGGAAAAAGTCTATTTCATATGAGCAACACCTTGATGTGAAAAGGTTCAACTTTTTGTACAACAGGGTAGTTGGTGACGTTTTACTATTGATACAGTATCTATCATTATTCTGTACTATATCGATGCTATGTGGATACCATTATGTACGGTAATGAGATTGGTTTGGCCCTTTGTATGATCAAGTCTTTGCATGGAACTCGTCAACCTATCAGAACTGGATACAACCAACCGCATCCTCCACCTGAATCATAGATCAAATTCCTTAATTTGATTTTTAAGTAGCTTTCAACCTGATTAGTGATTTGATTATCAATTAATTAATCATAAACCAAGCCATTTATTTTACACACATTTTCGATCCATACAATCGCTAGACAGAATTCCATGCACACTTCATCCCTCTTAATTTAGCCATCCCATCCTACTGTCTCTGCATCTGCAGCCGGCCTCACCTCACTATATAATCCAACCCCAAATCCTCCATCTTAATCCCGCTTAATCCCGAGCTTAATTAATGGCTAAACGCTCCTTTAAGCTCAAATTCCCTCGGGTTATCCCGCTAATCCAACTCTGTCGCCCCAAACGCAACTCCACTTTACCGGCAATTTACCGGCTGTCCCCCGTAAACGCCAAAGCCATGGGCATCGGCTTCCCCAGCCTCACCCTCCCGGCCCCGCCACCGTCCACACCGGAGGACCCCTCCGTAAAGTGCCACGTGTCATCCAAGCCCACCAAATCCCTCGGCTGCGGATCGTGCCGGTCCCGGTCATCCACGCGATTCATCTCCGACTGCAACGTCGAAATCAAATCATCCGCAGATAATGACGAACTTAATCATAATTATAATAACTATAATAATAATCTTATGTCGCCGATTTCGGAAACCGAGAATTATTACAGGAAGAAGCGGAAGAAGGAGAAGAGGAAGACGAAGAAGAAGCAATCGAAATTGAAAGCGAAACCGGAGCTTCCGTTTATAAATATTTCGTCCGGAAACTGGTTCAGCGGCGAATTCGACGGCGGCGAAGAGATCAGCGAAGAAAGCGGAACTCCGATCTACTCTTCCAGAAGCTTCTCGACCGAATTTTCGCTGGTGATGGACACCATAGGCCAGAAGATCTCGGGACCGCCGCACAAGCAGAGCAGCAAGAGGAGACCTAACAGTGGCGATTACGATAAGGTTCGTAGATCGAATTCAGATTCGGATTCGAAGAAATCGGCGGGGACGACGGGCGGCGAGTTCGGAAAGATAAAGACGGTGCTGCGGCCGATGAGGGCGTGCAGTGGGGAAGAGGGGAAGGTGAGGGAGAGCGTGGCGGTGGTGAAGAAGTCGGAGGATCCCTTCGAGGACTTTAGGAGGTCGATGATGGAGATGATCATGGAAAAACAGATATTCGAGGCCAAGGAGTTGGAAGGGCTCCTCCATTGTTTCTTGACTTTGAATTCCCGCCACTACCAGGACGTTATTGTGGAGGCGTTTTCTGAGATTTGGGAGCTCTTGTTTTCCGACCCTTCGGACCAAGTGGGAAATTTGAATTAACTGATATTGTCGTTTTTGCCCATAATTGTTTTACTAAATTACTAATGTAAAAATATTATAAGTTAAATATGTGATCTTAGCAATACTCATAAATGTATGTTGTCAAGTTTTCACCAGTAATAAATCATTCTAATCATTGAAATGCATGTACAAAAATTCACTTTGGATTTTACTCTCCAGAGCAAAAAAATCAAGCAATTTGAATCACTCAAACTAAATTCGACGGACCTTATTAACCCATTTTCTTGATTCACCTCATACAAACCAAAGATACCAATTTCTCTTCCACACAAATCAAGAATCTGGATTTCCTGATGGTACGGAAAGGATCCAGGTTAAATTAAGGTGCAGCCTCGATGATAACAAAAAAAAAAATTGTACTTATACAAGAAACAAGGTTTTCAAGTTATTTAACCAGAAAATCCAGATTTTGATCCGAAAATGTTGCCAAGTCATTCTCAAAAAACTTGACATGGCAGAGCTTTTCCCCAGCTTCATCAGCAAACACAATCTTCTTCCCCTCCTTGTCCTTGTTTGCAACATTTTCAGAAGCATCGACGTCGATATCAGCCATTTTCTGCAATGGATAAACAGAAATGATCAAATTCATGCCTGAAAACAAGACCGAGGAAGAAAATAGAATTGTTATTAGCACGTCGAAATAGTCATCGTGCACTTCTCTACCTCATTTCAAATAATAGAAGAATGCGTGATGATTATTTTAGACTTGCGACAACAGAATCCGGATAAATGAAAGGAAATAGGGTGAGGAGCAAACCATGATTTTACAAAACCGGTTGCAGTCCCTTGACGGGAAAATCTATGGAAGTAGTGGAAGTTATGGTGAGGAGAAGGATAAATATTATGTGCCTACAAGAAACTAAGTGGGTTGGTAGTAAGGCAAAGGATCTAGAAAACTCCGGGTTTAAACTTTGGTATTCGGGCACAAATAGAACGAGAAACGGTGTTGGCATCATCGTGGACAAGACCTTGGTACAAGATGTTGTAGATATCAAGAGGGTAGGAGATAGAATCATGGCAATCAAGATTGTAATAGGACAAGAACTTATCAATGTGATTAGTGCGTACGCACCTCAAGTAGGGTTGGATACGAGTTCGAAGGAGAAATTTTGGGAAGATCTTGGAGACTTGGTGCAAGGAATTGCTCAGACGGAGAAGTTATTTATAGGAGGAGATTTAAATGGACACGTGGGCAGGGAGACAGGCAACTATGGAGGTTTTCATGGTGGCCATGGTTTTGGGGAGAGAAACGAGGATGGGGAAGCTATCTTGGATTTTGCAATGGCATATGATCTCTTCTTAGCCAACACCTTCTTTAAGAAGAGAGAAGAACATGTGATCACCTACAAGAGTGGGTCGTCAAAAACACAAATAGATTTTCTTCTAATGAGGAAAGGGGATCGTATAACTTGTAAGGATTGCAAAGTTATACCAGGAGAGAGCGTGGCTAATCAACATCGCTTGTTGGTGATGGATGTACATATCAAAAGAGTAAGACAAAAGAACAAGACTTGGAAGTGCCCAAGGACTAGATGGTGGAATCTAAAAGAAGAAAAACAAGCCATTTTCAAAGAGAAGGTAATCACCCAATGTGTGTGGGATAGAGAGGGGGAAGCTAGCCAAATGTGGGATTCCATGGCTAGTTGTATCCGAAAAGTAGCAAAAGAGGTATTAGGAGAGTCCAAGGGCTTTGCCCCACACCAAAAGGAATCTTGGTGGTGGAATGAGGAGGTACAAACAAAGGTGAAGGCTAAGAAGGAATGTTGTAAAGCCTTATACAAGGAGAGGACCGATGAAAATGGTGAAAGGTATAGAAAAGCGAAGCAAGAGGCGAAGAAAGCTGTCAGAGAAGCTAAGTTAGCGGCTTACGACGATATGTATAAACGACTAGATACCAAAGAAGGAGAGTTGGATATCTATAAACTAGCTAGAGCAAGGGAAAAGAAGACAAGGGACCTAAACCAAGTGAGGTGCATCAAGGATGAGGATGGAAAGGTTCTTGCTACAGAGAACGCGGTTAAAGACAGATGGAGAGGTTATTTTCATAATCTTTTCAATGAAGGACATGAAAGGAGTGCTTCTTTAGGGGAGTTGAGTAACTCAGAAGAGTGTAGAAACTACTCTTTTTTATCGTCGAATCCGGAAGGAAGAAGTGGTTGTAGCTTTGAAGAAGATGAAGCATAGAAAAGCAATAGGCCCAGACGATATACCAATCGAAGTGTGGAAAGTTTTGGGAGAGACAGGTATAACATGGCTCACTGACCTTTTCAATAGGATTTTGAAAACGAAGAAGATGCCAAATGAGTGGCGAACGAGCACTTTGGTGCCTATCTACAAGAATAAGGGCGACGTACAAAATTGCATGAACTATAGGGGTATTAAGCTAATGAGTCATACAATGAAGCTCTGGGAGAGAGTCATTGAGCATAGATTGAGGCAAGAGACACGGGTTTCGGACAACCAATTCGGGTTCATGCCAGGGCGCTCAACCATGGAGGCAATCTATCTCTTACGAAGATTGATGGAAAGATATAGAGATGGGAAAAAGGATTTACACATGGTCTTTATAGATTTGGAAAAAGCGTATGATAGGGTCCCAAGAGACATTCTTTGGAGGATTTTAGAGAAGAAAGGAGTACGAGTAGCATATATCCAAGCTATAAAGGATATGTATGAAGGAGCAAAGACTGCCGTAAGAACTCATGAAGGACAAACCGAAAGCTTTCCCATAACTGTAGGATTACATCAAGGCTCATCCTTAAGTCCTTACCTTTTTGCGTTGGTAATGGATGAGTTAACAGGACATATTCAAGATGATATTCCTTGGTGTATGCTTTTCGCAGACGATATAGTGTTGATAGATGAAACTCAGGAAGGGGTAAATGCAAAGCTTAACCTTTGGAGAGAAGTGTTGGAATCTAAAGGTCTTCGCCTAAGCCGATCAAAGACAGAATATATGGAGTGCAAGTTCAGTGCAAATGGAGGCCAAAACGAGTTAGGGGTGAGGATCGGAGATCAAGAAATACCAAAGAGCGACCGTTTTCGTTACCTAGGATCTATCTTGCAAAAGAACGGAGAATTAGATGGAGATCTCAACCATAGAATACAAGCTGGATGGATGAAGTGGAAGAGTGCATCCGGCGTGTTGTGTGACCGCCGTATGCCACTGAAGCTCAAGGGAAAATTTTATAGGACGGCAATAAGGCCGGCGATGCTGTATGGCACAGAATGTTGGGCGGTGAAACATCAACACGTACACAAAATGGGTGTAGCGGAGATGAGGATGCTTCGTTGGATGTGTGGGCACACGAGAAAGGATAAGATTAGGAATGAGGATATCCGGGGTAAAGTAGGAGTAGCCGAAATTGAAGGAAAGATGAGAGAAAATCGGTTACGGTGGTTTGGACATGTGCAAAGAAGGCCTACTGACGCTCCGATTAGAAGATGCGACTATGGGACAGAGGTTCAGGGCCGAAGGGGTAGAGGAAGACCTAGGAAAACTTTGGAAGAGACTCTAAGAAAAGACTTAGAGTACTTGGATCTAACGAAGGACATGACACAGGATCGAGCACAATGGCGTTCTAAGATTCATATAGCCGATCCCACTCAGTGACTTGGATTTTCCAAGTCTCCAACCGAGAAGTTTTCCTCACTCGGGAAATTAAGGGAACACTACCCCAACCTACATGCTCCACTCAGAAAGCTTCAACATACAAGCTTCAACAAAAGAAAATTCAAAGAACTTAGCGAAGAAGGCTTTGGTGTATTTAACACAATACGTTGAAATGAAGGAAAGCTTATTTATTGATATCCCCGATAAGCTACAAATATGTACATATACATGAGTCAAAATAAACACACAAGAGGGAGCCTTCACAAAGGTTGCTTAGGAGAAGTCTCAGCAGTCGGTAGAGCCCCAGAAAGAGAAGGCACCGGAGGGGGATCATTTGGAGCCTCAGTACTGGACAGAACCCTAGAAGGAGGAGGCATCAGAGGTTGATCATTTGGAGCTTCATTACGCGGTACAGCCCCAGAAGACGAAGGCAATAAATGCCTTTTGGAACAAACCCACAAATCTCTGATGATCAAGTAAAACCTGACCATCAGTTTCCTTCATCTGGTCAAGCTTCCTCTTCATGTTTGTAGCATAGTCATGTGCGAGCCGGTGCAACTGTTTATTCTCATGCTTGAGCCCTCTAATCTCCTGTTTGAGACTCATCACTTCAGCCGCCAATGATTCAACTTGGCGGGTTCGAGCAAATAGGCGTTGGGCCATATTAGACACAGAACCTGCACACTGAACACTGAGAGCCAGCGAATCCTTAACAGCTAACTCATCAGACCGTTTGGAAAGTAGTCTGTTATCTTTGGGAGTGAGAAGGTTCCTGGCCACCACCGCAGCGGTCATATCATTCTTCATCACGGAATCCCCAACGGTAAGAGGACCAGTAGGGGAGACGAAGGATGGGCGCCATATGTTGTCTGGAGAAGGCGGGGCTGCCTCTTCAACAAGGTTCAAGTCAAAACGACGGTCGGAGGGGCCAGACATTTTCAAAGGTGTTGAAGAGAGAAGAGGTCGGACAAATCAAGATCTTAGAAGTGCAAGAATGAAGCTTCTACTGGTGGAGATTCAAGTGTGCTTTGGAACTTAATGCCAGCCCCTATAAAAAAATCTGCACTCGACGGAGCTTCAGAAATCGAAGAGGCGCCTGCTCAGAAATCGAAGAGGCGTTTGCTTTCTCAAAAGCTGGGCTGCTTAGAGATCACGAGGGTTGATCTCAGAAATCGAAGAGGCGTTTGCTTTCTCAAAAGTTGGGCTGCTCAAAGACCACGAAGGCCGATCTCAGAAATCGAAGAGGCGCTCGCTTTCTCAAAAGCTGGGCTCCCAGAGACCACGAGGGCCGATCTCAGAAATCGAAGAGGCACCTACTTTTCCAGCCTTGTCAGCACCTGTCACACGCACACTCAGCTTTGCGGAAATTATGGGCATTCTGTCAAAGACTTCTGGGGAAGTAGAAAACACATGAATCTTACTGTTCAATCACCCACTTCCCACACGCAACAATAGCTCATGGGTACCACAGATAACTTTGCCAAAGTTCTCTGCCAAAGTTGAGCACGTGAAGCTTGCAGCTCCCACTACATCGCTCTGACCAAGAAGGGTAAAAGAATAGCAAAGAAACAGCACTAACAAAGTTTAGACCCATAAATTTTGAAGGTCTAGCTACCATATTATTACCCACAAGGGTAAAGGAACAGTACCACTGCTGGATAATTGGAAAGTCCCTGTGTGTGTCAACCTCTGTGCTTCGTGGCAAGGTAGACTAGCAAACATGCCCAACCTTTACTCACATTCGAGAAAACACTCCCAATAAGATTGCTTGCTCCAAAATCGAAGAGGCACCGTCCTCCGAATCTCGAGAGCCAGACTCCCAACATGACTACTTTCTTAAAAATCGAAGAGAGGGTAAAGGAACAGTACCATTGCTGGATAATTGGAAAGTCCCTGTGTGTCAACCTCTGTGCTTCGTGGCAAGGTAGACTAGCAAACATGCCCAACCTTTACTCACATTCGAGAAAACACTCCCAACAAGATTGCTTGCTCCAAAATCGAAGAGGCACCGCCCTCCGAATCTCGAGAGCCAGACTCCCAACATGATTACTTTCTCAAAAATCGAAGAGACACTGCTCCCCGAATCTCGAGAGCCAGACCCCCAGCATGATTGCTTTCTCAAAAAATCGATGAGGCATCGTTCTCCGAATCAATCGAAGAGGCGCTCGCTTTCTCAAAAGCTGGGCTGCTCAGAGACCACGAGGGCCGATCTCAGAAATCGAAGAGGCACCTACTTTTCTAGCCTTGTCAGCACCTGTCACACGCACACTCAGCTTTGCAGAAATTATGGGCATTCTGTCGAAGACTTCTGGTGAAGTAGAAAGCACATGAATCTTACTGTTCAATCACCCACTTCCCACACGCAACAATAGCTCATGGGTACCACAGATAACTTTGCCAAAGTTCTCTGCCAAAGTTGAGCACGTGAAGCTTGCAGCTCCCACTACATCGCTCTGACCAAGAAAGGTAAAAGAATAGCAAAGAAACAGCACTAACAAAGTTTAGACACATAAATTTTGAAGGTCTAGCTACCATATTATTACCCACAAGGGTAAAGGAACAGTACCACTGCTGGATAATTGGAAAGTCCCTGTGTGTCAACCTCTGTGCTTCGTGGCAAGGTAGACTAGCAAACATGCCCAACCTTTACTCACATTCGAGAAAACACTCCCAACAAGATTGCTTGCTCCAAAATCGAAGAGGCACCGTCCTCCGAATCTCGAGAGCCAGACTCCCAACATGACTACTTTCTCAAAATCGAAGAGAGAGGGTAAAGGAACAGTACCATTGCTGGATAATTGGAAAGTCCCTGTGTGTCAACCTTTGTGCTTCGTGGCAAGGTAGACTAGCAAACATGCCCAACCTTTACTCACATTCGAGACAACACTCCCAACAAGATTGCTTGCTCCAAAATCGAAGAGGCACCGCCCTCCGAATCTCGAGAGCCAGACTCCCAACATGATTACTTCCTCAAAAATCGAAGAGACACTGCTCTCCGAATCTCGAGAGTCAGACCCCCAGCATGATTGCTTTCTCAAAAATCGAAGAGGCATCGTTCTCCGAATCTCGAGAGCCAGATACCACAGACCACTTTTTCAAAGTGCTCTGACAGAGTTAAAACATGTGAAACTGGCAGCTCCCACTACCGTGCTATGACCAAGCAGGGTAAAGGAATAGCATTACTACTTGTTGTTAGGGAGACTCCTATATATGTCGACCTCCATCCCCAACGGACAGGCAGACCTGCAAAAATGCTCAACCCTTCATCATATCTGAGAGGGCACTCCCAACGAAGCCTTTCGAAATATTCAGCTTTCTTTCCCCCCGATAATACCTCTGCAAACAAGCTATACTAGAGCAAGAATATCTCATATCATCAGGGTTAAAAGCAAGAGTATCCCATATCATGCTTTTTCCCTGTCTTTTCCTTTTGGCCTTGTTTTTACCTGCAAGACAAGGAGAAAGAGAGCAATCAGTCAGCACTTGGAATCAAGCTTCCAGCCAGGAACTGACTGCCTGGAACCCCTTACCTGATTACTTACCTGGCATTGCTCTCGAGTACTCATCTTCAACATCTTATGTTTCCAGGGAAGATTCCGCATCTGCTTGAGGAACAGATAGGGCAAGTGCGAAGGATACAAGGAAGCATGTGGAGACAAGCGTAACAGCACACGTGCCGATACATCCATTACTCTGTCAAAAGCAAAAGTATCCCATATCAGCAGGGTGGAACGTACTCTAGATTTGATGGACTTGTTTTGACCCTCAAATTCTTCAGTCGGCCTTATACTCTGGAGGAAACCAGAAAACCCTCCAGCTCAGTTCAAGAATAAGCCTGTGGAAAGTTACTTCTTCAAAAGCAAAAGTATCTCATATCATCTCTTCTCATTTTTCTTCTCTTTATCCTTCATGCTGCTGCAAGATGGGGAGAAGGTGAACAATCAGTCGGAGCTCTGATTGCTTACCTTGTCTGTCACCTCTTTCAGCAGACCCCCTAGCTCGGCGACTTGGGGGACTCCTACTACATGGTTTGTATCGCGCTTGACCAAGCCTGAAACTACAAGTAAGCTTCAAGTGAAATTGATACATTACCTTGTGCATCTCCACCAGTTAAAGATACCACCCCTGGATGGAGGAAGAGTACTTCCAGAGAGAAGATGCCACATCTACCTATGAGACAGATAAGGCAAGTCAAGACGACACCACACTCCGATACTTAGAAGTTTCGTGATTACGAGATCATTCTCCCACAATATTTCCTAATGTCATTTGTACTAAATCATTCACTTGTACTCACTAAAGGAGAGCTTGAACCTATGTACTTGTGTAAACCCTTCACAATTAATGAGAACTCTTCTATTCCGTGGGACGTAGCCAATCTGGGTGAACCACGTACATCTTGTGTTTGCTTTCCTATCTCTATCCATTTATATACTTATCCACACTAATGACCGGAGCAATCTAGCGAAGATCACAAAAAGCGACCGTTTTCGCTACCTAGGATCTATCTTGCAAGAGAACGGAGAATTAGATGGAGATCTCAACCATAGAATACGAGCTGGATGGAAAGAGTGCATCCGGCGTGTTGTGTGACCGTCGTAGGCCACTGAAGCTCAAGGGAAAATTTTATAGGACGGCAATAAGGCCAGCGATGTTGTATGGCACAGAATGTTGGGTGGTGAAGCATCAACACGTACACACAAAATGGGTGTAGCGGAGATGAGGATGCTTCGTGGGATGTGTGGGCACACGAGAAAGGATAAGATTGGGAATGAGGATATCCGAGGTAAAGTAGGAGTAGCCGAAATTGTAGGAAAGATGAGAGAAAATCGGCTCTGGTGATTTGGACATGTGCAAAGAAGGCCGACTGACGCTCCGGTTCGAAGATGTGACTACGGGACAGAGGTTCAGGGCCGAAGGGGTAGAGGAAGACTTAGGAAAACTTTGGAAGAGACTCTAAGAAAAGACTTAGAGTACTTGGATCTAACGGAGGGCATGACACAAAACCGAGCGCAATGGCGTTCTAGGATTCATATAGCCGACCCCACTTAGTGGGAAAAGGCTTTGTTGTTGTTGTTGTTGTTGGTTGCAGTCCCTTGACATCATGGAAAGCAATCTTTTCGCAGATGCTTCGACTCTCGTTGCGTTCCTAATAGCCATCTGCACCTGCATTTTTTCATTGGAAGCACACAGATGAGCACACAATTATTCTTGCACATTCACGTAGAAAAGGGGTTGCGTGAGAAAACGTATCTGAAAAAAAAGTATGTTAGGGTACCTCATTTGCATTATATTTCAAGGGTGTAGCATGATAGGCCTCAGGCAGTAATCTTTCTTCTGCAATTTCTTTCATGGTCTGTAACTCAATCGTGAGTTTTGTTGCAAGGGATTCAATGTCCTGCATCTGGCGTTGCGAGAATGCAATGGCACTCTCCGAACAGGTTCGGATTGAAGTACACCCGGTGGTAAAACGCGGTGGTGCTGCAGAAACCTTGGAAGCTTTAGGGATGCCTTTAGGGTGGGAATTAATCTTCTCGTTCTTCGGATTCCCGTTGTTTTGCACTTTGATAGACAATTTCGCTCTCTTGATCTGATCAGGCCCTTGACCTCCGCCAATCGTCCTCTCGGTTTGTTTTCCAAAACATAGATTCGCCTTACAACCTGATATAATCAGAAAACCATGAAAGTCAAATACATGGTGAATGAGAAGAGGGGAATAGCAATGTGTGCAATTTGCAAATGGAGTAATGAACACAAAAACGAAATTTAATTTTAAAGTACCCAAACAATTTCTTGGCATTCGTAATGAATTTGTAATGAAAATGCAAAAGCAATGGAAAGCTTAAATACTAAGAAAAATTGAACAACATTTTGTTTCCGATAAAAGAGTAACAGAAAATCAGTTAAACCAACATAGAAAATTTTGTTTTGAGGTGTCGTACAAGAAAACAAACCAAACAGCTACACAGTTGGCCTGAAAAGGAAACAGTTACACAGCAAAACATACAAGTTACAGTACAATAAACACCAACAGGCAACAGCCATCAGTCACAAAAGAATGGTTTAAGCCATCTAGGTAAATCCTCCCCTAATGTTGTCAAAACTCCTATTTTCTGTCCAGCCGCACAACCCAATTCTGGATATCGAAAACTCTAGCAATTTAATTCAAACAGACAGAAAGAAATTTGTAGTATTCTAGAATAACACTCAGTTGTGTACCTGGGCCACAAGAATTGATTAGCATTGTACATGTCAACGGACTACATAACACCGCAGTATAGAGAACATCAAAACACAGCGGAGATCGATTATCAGCTCATCAATAGGTTCTCATGGCCAATAAAGTATGTGCTTAGTACTTTTATGGTTAATAATGTCAAATTTTTATCAGATCATCAATAGGTTTTCATGGCCAATAAAATATATGCTTAGTACTTTTATGGTTAATAATGTCAAATTTCTTCTGTACTTTCAAGAATGAAACTTAAATTTTACTGCATCATTGTAGCATCTGGCTGGCAGAGTATGCTACGAGCCTACGATCCTAATCATTCGAATAGCACAACAGGCTTTGTACACTTACCGGGATGTTCTTCACCGTGTAACTCAATTGACTTCATGGCCTTGCACAGTTTTTCTTGGGAAGTTGGTGAAATCACCTGCACATGAAAACAGTTTATGAGAAACAGACTCCACTCTATGATAAAGCAAAAAAACGAGAATAGATGTTACATACCTTTCTGGTCGGAAAGAGCCTTTGAGGAGGACGCTGCTCGTTTAAACTAGGACTCCCACCACTCACTAGTGTCGTAAGCTCGTCAGTAGCATCAGAAGAAAAGATCCCTGGAGACAAGTTTCTTTCTGCACCAGCACAGGCAGACTTGGGGGATTGCTTCTCCTCCTCAGCCACGGGGGAATCATCAGCAACAGAAACAAAACCGCTACCAGACCCAGCACTGGATTCAACATTCCAAGGTGAATCATCATTCATGTCAGGCTCAGATAGACATGAATCAGTTCCGTTAACAGGTCCCATGCACTGAAAGAGATCATCACCCACCACCTCAGATATTCGAACCTGGGTCTCGCTGTTAGTCTGACATAACCTTTCATCCTCAGAGGAGATAGTGTCGTGCAGATCAAAATTTTGATCTTGCGCCGAACATATTGCTTCAATGAAGTTGTCAGGGTGAACTGAATTCGTGATATGTCCTTCAATGTTATATTCTAATAGAGGCAAATCCAAGCACTCGTCACTATTGAACTCTGAATCATCAACCTCAACAATATCCCATTCTGAGGTCGTTACAATCTGAATAGGTGTGGGATCTGCACATTCCATATCTTCGTAGCAGACTTCATTTACAACACAAATCTGACTTTCATTTGTTTCGTAAATTGGCAACTCGGTCTCGAAAACACAATCAGCAGCTATCGCAGGAGATTCATCAGGCACCACTCCGCAAGAACCCTCCTGATTATCACAAGCCAAAGAGGTATCACCAGCAGCAGGAATTGTGTTTTGGATATCTGAAAACTCAGTTTCAGGAACCTCTACTTTAATGTTCAGACCAGATTCCGGCTCACTTGGGATGTGTTCTGATGTGATAGTCGATATGGAACTTTGAGACATTGAAGAGAAACCCTTTTTTTTATGTTTACTCTTAGTATTGGCCTTTGCCTTCTTTGAGAGTTTCCACTTACTAAGAGGCTCTATGAGATCAACATCCTCTTCATCAGTTTGCAACTTAAAAAACTCATGCTTTACAGGTGAGCACGTTTCTATTTTTTTCAAATCACCAGATGTTGAACGTTTTCTTTTCTTGTCCTTGCATGTCTCTTTAATCTGCTTCAGTGTAATATTACCAAAACCATCCAAATCATTATTTCTTCCGGCATTGCCATCACTGCTATCAAAATCGTAAACTTCAGGTTCAGTTTTGACTGTCACATTCCCCACAGTACGCCTACTTGGACTTTCACCCATGACCCTATCTCCGTTGACAACTGATCCCCTGAACTCATCTTTTGGCGGAATTCTTGGGAATGAATCACCATTTTTGGCATCTAATCTTTCATGTATGTCTTTCAACTCCTTGAATCTGAGTACTGGCTGTCCGCGAGCCACATTCAGAGTCTTTACCACTAAACCACCTTCCAGAGCCTGGATAAAGTGCAAATGATTGCAACTTCTCAACTCCATCACATATAAAACTCAGGTTCTACTCGTTAGTACACGAACAATCATTAAAATGCACAATATCCTTTCCCTGCAACGGAAATCAACCTTACTTATAAAACTAAACAAATTGTTCCCAAGTAATTCTTAGTTATTAAACACAACACAACAGCCTCAAATTTCAGAAAATGTTAGACACATCAATCTTTGAAACAAAATCAAAGCACTAAATTACACTAACGACAAAAAATTCAAATTACTGACCATTCCTAAAAGATTAGATCAATCAATTACATTAACTCCATCAAAAACATAAAAAATGACTAGAAAGTTTTCAGATTGAGCAGCTGATAGCAACAATTAAAAGAAAATATACCCTCAACATATGATAAACAAAAAGAATACAGGGATAAGAGAAACTGTACCAGATTACGACTACGAGGAGCACCACTGCTATTTGGATTCGCTCCAGTGAATCGAATCGGAGACGCCTGCGGGAAACAGAAGCTTTCAGGCCATGGTAACATTACACAGAGTAATTTAAACAATCATTTCAAACAAATAGATCCATCATAAAAGTCAGATCCCAGATTGAAACCCTAATTAGTAATAAATTGGGTCACATACAATTAAAATTTAATCTCTCACAATTGCAAACCTTCGGTTGCTTCAAAGAGCAATACAACCTTCCACGAACTTCCTCTCTCTGTGATTCCCGAAACAGCGAAGAACGGCGAGATGATTGGGGGATATATCCGGATCGGAGAGACGGAGAGGGCGTAAACGAAGACCTAGAGAGAGAGAGAAAGCTGAAAATGTTGAAGCTATTGGACTGAATGGGAAGGGACTGTTTGGAGAGACGGAAAGTTTGAGATTGGAGATGGTAGGGCTAGTGGCAGTGGCAAAGGGGCTTTTTAGCTCGCGGGAAAAGAGGGATTTTAAGATCGTAGGGAGCGCGCCAAATTCTGTTTGGCGGGAACTCAAACGATCCCTCGTTCATTGAATATTCGCGTGGGAATGGAAGTACTAGAGTACAGCATCAACTATAGGACTGGTGATGGATTCTACATATCTCGCCGTCCATCTGTCTCTCCCTCTCTTTTTCCCTTGAAAGTCACTTCGATTAAAAAGGGCGGAGGCCCGATGGGCCAATCAGAGCCCAGTTTTACTTTTTTGGTTATGGGGTCGCCCGACCCAATTTCAAACTAGTAGGGTTTAGGCCTTGCATTTAGTTCCTGAGCCGGCCCATGGGTCGGTTTTATAACAGAGGCTCAAATTTTAGCCCACCACATGGCCGAATGAGGTGGTTTCTTAATGAGTGGTCTTTTGCTCACTCCCTAAACGAGGATGGTGCTCACTAGGCCTGGCATTTTGGACCCAACCCGTTAATATTTGTATTTGGGTGGATGCTTAACGGGTCGGGTCGCTAACGGGTGAACCCGTTAACAACCCGTTAAATAACGGGTCATTTTGGGTCAACCCGTTAGACCCGTTAGGACCCGTTAACACCCGTTAGCACCCGTTAGTTGAGGATATTTTAGTAAAGTCTTAATAACAAAAAATAAACTTTATGCAAAAAAAATAATAATAATAATTGTTAACCGGTGTTAACGGGTGAAACGGGTGACCCGTTAGCTTAACGGGTCGGGTTCGGGTGACCCGTTAGCTTAACGGGTTGGGTTCGGGTGACCCGTTAACTTAACGGGTCGGATTCAACCCGACCCAAACCCAATAAACCCGACCCGTTTACAGGTCTAGTGCTCACTCTCATTAATTGTCGTTATATTAGAAAATTTTAAATTTTAAATTTTAAATTAATTAAATCAAATTAATATAACGGTAATCAATAGGGATAAGCATCACTCTCACTTTAGCGGGTGAGCAAAAATACACTAGGGTCTAAATATAAGGCTAGAAGAAGCTACAAAACTTCCTTTGTTTCAATTTTTTTGTTTGTTTAATTTGTGAGTTTTTTTTCTTGCCATATATATTTGTTTGTTATTTTAGAAATTGCAGTTTTATTTTTTAACACAACAGATGTTCGAATCCAAAAAGGTTCAAATTCAAATGTAAAAGGGTCACACCTCAAACTAACCTGGTCAACTTATTTACGCAAAAATATGCATAAAAGTTATAGCCTTGAGCATTTCCTTAAACTCCACATCCCCATGTCTATGCAAAATCAATTTATGACAAAACCAAGACTCAAAATTCCAGCAATTATAAATTCAATTTGATTTCCTTTTATTCTCTTTGTTTGTTTATCACAATTTTAATTAAAAACTAGCAGATAACACACATTTTGTGCGTGTGAATAACCTCACATCTCCTCCCACGTTTTCCTTAAGCGCAACTGGTTTAGTTCATTCAAACTATTAAAAAAAATCATGATTTCACTTACCTATATGATATGGTGGGACAATTTCTTTTAGTAAGTACATATTTTTATCTTATGTAAATATTTTGATACAAAATTACCATTTTGCCCTACTTATATAAATATTGTGTATCAAAATGAGGGCAAAATAGGAAAAATGGGGATATGATTGTTATTTTGTCAAAAGTATAAAATTATTATTTTGTCCTCCTCATGTCAATATTGTGTATTCAAAAGAGAGGAAAAAATTGAAAAAAAAGGGACAAAAAGTTAACAAGAGCTCTTCTATTCATAAAATACATAGATAAAATAGAAACAGAAATAAAAAATAAAAATGGCAAAAAAAATTTAAAACCCAGAAAAAAAATGATTTGACGTGGCGCCCTATTGCACCACCAACCAAAAACGCTGACATTTCCAAAGTTAACAAATTCACAAGAAAACAATTTTAAAACCCTCACCAGCGGCATCTCCTCCCCCTCTCAACCTCCCCCGCCCCCACCCACCTCGTTCACGATGAAGGCATCTTTGAAGGGCAAGTATGAAAATGACAAGAGCGGCGCCGCCGCAAACGTCGCCTTCTTCGCCAGCGATGTCAAGTTCCGAGCTTCGCTCACCGATGCCACCTTCGCCGCCGGACCCAGCTTAAACGGCCTGGTCCTCGCCGTAGAGAAACCCGGCTCCTTCATCGTCGATTACAACGTTCCCAAACAGGTAATCAGATTTCGGCAACTTGGTCTGGTTATAATTGGCGGCCTTGAGTGAGTTTAACTGTAAAAATGGTGGCTTTTGTCTTTTGGGTGTGTGCAGGACTTGAGGTTTCAGTTCATGAACTCGGTTAGGGTTGCGGGGAAGCCGTTGAATTTGAATTACATTCACATGAGGGGAGACAACCGGACGATTCTGGACGGAACCCTAGTGCTCGATTCGGCCAACAAGGTGTCGGCGAATCACGTGCTCGGCTCGAGGAACGGGAAGTTCAAGTACTCTTATCTGCACGGCGGAGCGACGACGTTTGAGCCATCGTACGATTTGGCCAAGAATTCGTGGGATTTCGCGGTGGCCCAGAGGTTTTATGATGATGTATTCAGGGCTTCGTACCAGACGTCGAGCAAGTTGTTGGGGTTGGAGTGGTCGAGGAGTTCTAAAATCAATGGCTCTTTTAAGGTAATTAAACTTTTTTAATTGATATTTCTTGTTTTATTTGTTGGATTTGATTTGGTTTATATAATTGCAATTAGGATTTTGATGTTTGAGTGAAGTATGGCATTTGAATTTTGGTTTGTCAATGATTTGTGCCTGCTTTCAAATTATGGTCTTAGTTTTGAATAAGTAATATAGTGAGTGTAAATCGATTATGGCACAAGTATGTGTTTTGTGGAAATGATCCGTTCTCTCTGTCGACAATTGTGTCATCCTGGGCTTCTGTGCGTCTTCACTAGATGTGATACGAGTACATTGAGTACGGTATGCTTTTATCACTTAGGAGATGTAATTGCATTTGGTTAGTATTCATGTTTTGGATCCTGGATGTTACTTTCGTTATTAAACTTGAATATACCTCTGGCGAGTGAGGTGGGAGGTTTTCGAGGGAAATTTAAATCTGCTGAGGAATTGATTAACCTCAATTGGGGGACATGGGTGACATTGTTCTTTCCAGATAAGGGTGTTGATGAGTTGATGATTGTGAAATCGAGTGTGTGTAACACTCCGGAAATGTTGCTCTTGGAAGGGCTGCAGTTTGGTCTGTGAAGTTGAAATTTTGGTTTTGTTATGTCATTTGGTATGTCAGTCAATCCAAGTACACAAGGGTTTCTTGTAACAGTTTGTCCTATGAAGTTACAAAGAAGAAGCAACAATTCTGCAACACACTCAGTTCCTCCAATTCACAAGTGTGTTGCAAAACAAGGTGGTCTGCTATTGTTTTCTGTGTTAAGGGTTGTGGTTGTGGCAGTGTCCAGAGCTACAACTGTGGTTTTTCCTACTAGTGGGGTAGTTGGATTGAATTGAAATCTTGGTGGTAGTAGCATCAAAGATGACGCTTCATGTCCACAGCGGTACTAGCAATGTTTGTGTGGTGGATAGCACTGCTCTGGGCGGTAATGCTATTGCAGTGTAGTTCAATCGTTATGTGGCCATCAGTTGAATGTTAGTAACACATCTTCATATGTAAAAAACTATTAGCTCCTACTCATTGAACTCTCGGAAATGTTGCTTCTGAGTATATGAGTCACATGACCACTTCGAAGGTTGTAGAGTTTTGCTTATCTGTTGTTACTAAATCAAGCTTTTCCTGATAATGTTCATGTATTCTTTCCAGGTTTCAGCATCTGTTAATTTGGCGGAGGAACGAAAGATGCCAAAATTAACTGCTGAGAGTACCTGGGATTTTGAGATGTGATTCATTATTGTATCTTTGCTTGTAGTATGATAACAACTTAGAATTGTCTCATGATGGATTTAAAGTATCATTTTATCATTGAATAGTGTTTTTCTTTCATTAGTGAGTTGATACACCTGGTTATAGGCGGCTTCGTACGCGCAGCATTGACATATAAATTGTTGGATGGTCCGAGTAACCATGAACTTCATATGCTACGTGAAATAATTCTCTCTTGGAGGAACTGAGGCCGAGTTACGGCTTTTTATACTGAAAATGTACATTCTTGATTGTTTGAGAATGGTTCATGAACTTTACTGAGGAAGTGAGAAGTTCAATGGATGCAAGTAAATGCAAATTCAAAGAATTTCAACGCCCAATCTGCTTTGTTCAGGCTTTGTATTTTATTTTGTGCTGCAGAGACTTACAGTTGATAAAGTCTGACATTTGCTCATTTGAATGTACTTTTAAAATAATTGAAAATGTTTTTAGTGAAAATGTTTTTGGAACCAATCCTTAGTAAAAATGCAAGTAAATCTTAGAAGAAGCACTTAAGTGGTGCTTCTTACATAAAGCACTTCCAGTGCTTTTGGAGCTCAATTTTTTTTCCCTATGAACGTTTTCAGTTATTTTAAAAGCACATCCAAACAAGCTCACAATTCAAGTGTTGTGAGCGTGACGATAACTCCGCACTTCACGTGTTGTTATATAGGTGAACACTTTTCACAAAAGTCAATATTGTGATATAAATCCCTGAGCCGAATTCGACTTTAAACAAAATAGTTGTTGGATACTCCGAAAAATACTTTTAGAAAAATTTATATTATATATATGATATACATTATTAAATTTAACAGACTGAATTAGCAATTCTGAATTTAAGAAAATATAAGGGGCGTATTTGAGCCACTTAAAATGAAATGTATACGGAAATACAGGAATTTGGACCTCTTAGACTTTGTTTGGATCAAAAGAATTCAAGTGCATTATCAATTTATCAGCTTAATCCAAAATTGGGCCCAATCGAGCCCAAAACAATACTATCACTTTGATATGGGGCTTGATCTCAATCTTCAATCAGAACCGCTCACCAAACCCTGAAAAATCTGACGGTCCTGATGTTTCGTCATGAAAACGTGTAAATTTGGCGGCAGTGGCAATCCCCAAAAGAATTTTAAAATCATTT